GGCAAGTTAACGACTTGTTTACTGGGCGTTTTTCTGCCGTTTCCATAACGTTAACGCGCCGTTTTTTGTGTTGACCGTTTACTGGAGATTAACTGGCCGTTAACGGGCCGTTTTTTTGGACCTGGGAGGCAATCATCTATATCTGCCAGTTGTAAAACCCTAATTTTTCCATAAAACATTTTCATATTGCAAAAACGCCCTGTTAAATTTTTCCCACGCCTTAGTTTTGTAGACCAAACATTTCTCTACAAAATCAGATATAACAGCACTTTTCATCTTTAATCGGTCCTCAGGTAAAACATTTTTGCTAAATGTCCCATTACCGGTATCGATGCCGACACCGATTAATACCAGTTATGGGCAAGTAAAAAGCAAGAATCGGTCCCTTTATGATTATTTGATCACAATCATATTTATGATCTCGCGTTTCTTTTTATCTGCTGTATATGCGTCAGGCATTTCGATAAAAGCATTCTGAAGCTATTTGAACTCGATTAAAGCTTAGCGTGTCAATCACCACTATAGCAGACTGCAGCAACTTTATTCCAGCAATTCATCTATAGTTCTTTTCCACACGGCTTTAATATAAAACACGAGTAAGTAACGCAACGAAGACTTTCCGATTCTCGAGCGCATCTCCCTTGACGCGAAAAATGCTACTCAAGAAAAGTAGGCAGATGATTTATGTGCATGATTCTTTGTTAGTAAAAGCACCAATTTATCAAGAATATGTTGCAAAAAAGCAAACTGTTTTATTCTTCTGCCAGAACACAACAAGAACCATAAGTCAAACGCGGGGTGTATAACCAATACAGACTTGGTCATGCATTAATCTCTGAAACATATTTCTACTCCGACACATCAAAAACAGAATTTAATCACAACGACTACTGACACATTCTATATATTCACACCATTCTATAGGAATTCGTTTTCTGTAGGCTAGTTAGAGAAGACCGATTCACCCTAGAAACTTGTCCTATCTTTGAAAACTGGTCGAATTGTTGAAGATTTGGTAAATAATCATATCTGTTCCAGAGTTGATATGTATACAATGATGATGTTTTATTGCAAAGATAAAATTGACATCGTGATTAAAAGAAAGTGGAGAGCTTGAGAACTCTGAATACATGTGTCATGCTTACGAAATTGTACAGTCATTAGCTAAATATTCTAAAGCTTGCTCATAACGCCGTTGTTGCTGAAATTGTTGTGTGAGTTGTGAGATGGGATTGTAATAAAAAGTTTTAATCCATTCTGGCTTATATGCCATGATCTTTTTAACACGTCTATTTCGACCGGCAACAAAAATGGAATTAGCAACAAGGAAATTCCGCTGCACATGAGATAATTCGTATATTCGATTTAGAGAATTTCCACATGCTTCTGCATCTTCGAACATACATTTGTCAATTAATAAATCAGGACTTAATGCCACACAACCAATGAAGAGTAGGCGAATTTCATCATCGGTTAAACGATGATAATTCCTGAAATCTCTTAATCTATCTAAGTTCGATTCATCGTATTCCAGTAACGTGCATACAACATCCAAATAGTACATGCATTTTGCAATGCTATTGTTCGGAACATTGACAGTTTGACTGAATCGTTGAACATCCCACGTGCCTAACGAATATAACGCCATTTTCAGTGATTTTACTTTATGTTGGATGCTGAGCTAAGCGACCATATATTATATGCGATTTGAATACTACGGGGATTTTTCCAACCACTATTTACATTGCGTAATATATTTAGACGTTGAATAATCACTTATGTATTGCGTATATCTTCTTGGAAAAAGCCAGCTCGTCGATGACGATGATGCAAATCGGCGATCTGTGACTGATCAAAGAACGTAGAAAGTGATCGCTTGAAGCGCTCTCGTCAACGTTTTTTTAAAAGCCATAGCAAAGATGCGTCTGTTAGTTGGCAGTTACATAATTCTGACCGACTTGTAGCAATCCTTTTTGCATTTGTCCCCTACCCGAGGGTATGACTCCGTGATAATTTATTTATTTAATAATTAATTTAATTTATAATTAATATTTATAATCTTGAAACTTTCACCAAAACTAGAACGTTTTGTTCTGTGTGGATTGGATAATTCGAAAAATTTAAAATCATGTGGGAAAATCCCGGTTTCCAGAGCCCTGTTATGTAAAAAGCACGACTTTTGCAATGCATAGTTCTCAAAAAACGGATTGTTTTTTCCCGAAAAAGGATCAAGATACAGGTACCTCGACGTGTTCTACGCGAGTGGCATAGGTAAATGTTGCCTGCCTGAACGTGTATTCAATGTGACGGACGTGGACGAAAACGCCGTTATCCTATGTACACCCGCGTTTGACTTGTGGTTCTTGTTGTGTTCTGGCAGAAGAATAAAACAGTTTGCTTTTTTGCAACATATTCTTGATAAATTGGTGCTTTTACTAACAAACAATGATGCACATAAATCATCTGCCTACTTTTCTTGAGTAGCATTTTTCGCGTCAAGAGAGATGCGCTCGAGAAATTCTTTTTTTGATGTGTCGGAGTAGAAATATGTTACAGAGATCAATACATGATCAAGTCTGTAAAGCCTATGCACTTTAACGCTTGTTTCGTTTACAGTTGGCCAATATCAGAAAATGATCGGATGAACATTGTAAGCAGCGTGAACTGAATAATGGTAAATGTTGCCTGCCTGAACGTGTATTCAATGTGACGGACGTGGACGAAAACGCCGTTATCCTACTATCTGTATCAAAATATAATGGACTCCGATATTTCGCTTATAACTTTTTAACGGTGAATGCTACAGACTTGCGGTTTTCAGTTTCTGAAACTAGACACTGGGGCACCTAGATCTGTCAAAAAATCATGGCGTTCGATCAGGTTTACCATGGTGTACCATTCGAGGCAAAATCCGAAAGCTTACCGTTCCTAAACAGCACTATGAAATACAA